GTTCGGGTTGGCTGATGGAGGTGGGTTCTGTGTTCTGATTCCAGACCCAGATGAAGTTCCTGGTAGAACACATGTCTCGCCCAGACTACATGGAAGCTCTGCAAGGATTCGTGTCTCCTCTGAACCCCGTCCACCAGCTAGGAAACCTCCGGTATCCGTCTGTGCAGCCGTTCATCCAACCGACTGACGTAGTTCATCCAACCGACTGACGTAGTTCATCCAACCGACTGACGTAGTTCATCCAACCGACTGACGTAGTTCATCCAACCGACTGACGTAGTTCATCCAACCGACTCACGTAGTTCATCCAACCGACTGACGTAGACTCGTTCATCCAGCCGACTGACGTAGTTCATCCAACCGACTCACGTAGTTCATCCAACCGACTCACGTAGTTCATCCAACCGACTCACGTAGACTCGTTCATCCAGCCGACTGACGTAGTCCATCCAACCGACTCACGTAGTTCATCCAACCGACTGACGTAGTTCATCCAACCGACTGACGTAGTCCATCCAACCGACTGACTGACGTAGAGACCTTGGTCCAACCCTCCAACAGGCTGGCTGGTTTGTGTCTGTAGGCTGGAGGAGTGCCGGATCATGTCTTCGGCAAAGCGCCCCCTGTGGCTGAACTGGGAAAACCCCGACATCATGTCTGAGCTGCTCTTCACCAACAATGAGATCATCTTTAAGAACGGGGATGGTAACTGGTTCTCGGCCAGACTAGTGGGCTCTGGGGGAGGGGTGGGGGGCTTAGCATGGCCGCTAATGTGGCTTGTCCTGTGTGCAGACCTGCGCCAGGACATGTTGACCCTGCAGATCATTAAGATCATGGAGAGCATCTGGCAGAACCAGGGCCTGGACCTGCGGTGAGTCTCAGCAGCTCAGGCTGGTAGCTGCACAGCTAACCCTAACCCTAACCCTAAGCCTAACTTCCTGTGTGTGTCTCCTAGCATGCTGCCATACGGCTGCCTGTCCATCGGGGACTGCGTGGGTCTGATCGAGGTGGTGAAGAACAGCTTCACCATCATGCAGATTCAGTGTAAAGGAGGCTTGAAGGGGGCGCTGCAGTTCAACTCCAACACGCTGCATCACTGGATCAAAGACAAGAACCGCGGAGAGGCGTCAGTACACCGACTCCCCCCAATCGGCCCCAACCCCGTCCCTGACCTAGCCCTGTTCAGTTCAGTTGGGTTGATTACAGAGCAAAACATCACAATGAGCTTCAAAGAATGAAAGAGTTTTAATTCGGATCAGATTATCTGTCTGTCTGTCTGTCTGTCTGTCTGTCTGTCTGTCTCTCTCTCTCTCTCTCTCTCGCTCTCTGTCTGTTCTCATGTCTGTCTGTCTGACACCTGTCTCCCTCCTTCCTCAGGTATGATCGGGCCATCGACCTGTTCACCAGGTCCTGTGCAGGTTATTGTGTTGCAACCTTCATCCTTGGAATCGGAGACAGACACAACTCCAACATCATGGTGAAGGAGAACGGACAGGTGAGCTCCTCCTCTTTTCCTTTTCTCCTCCCCTTGTGGCCTCATAACTCTCCTCTCCTCCTCTTTCCGTCCTCTTTACTTTTTCTCTTCCAAATGCTCCTGCAGCTCTTCCACATTGACTTTGGCCACTTCCTGGACCACAAGAAGAAGAAGTTTGGCTACAAGAGGGAGCGGGTGCCTTTTGTGCTGACGCAGGACTTTCTCATCGTCATCAGTAAAGGGATCCAGGAATCCACCAAGACGAAAGAGTTTGAGAGGTGTGGGCTGCTGCTGGCTGTCTGCAGAAGCTGCTGCTGGGTGGCTCTGAGCCTGCTCACCTGTCTCACCTGTCTGTGCTGCAGGTTCCAGGAGATGTGCTACAAAGCCTACCTGGCCATCCGGCAGCACGCCAGTCTCTTCATCAACCTGTTCTCCTTGCTGCTGGGCTGCGGCATGCCCGAACTGCAGAGCTTTGATGACATAGGCTACCGGGGGGGAGAGCTGGGGGTGGGGGGGGGGGGGGGGAGGGTTGTGGGGAAGGGGGTGGAGAGCTCTGGGGAAGGGGGTAAAGAGCTCTGGTTGTGGGGAAGGGGGTGGTCTGTCTCCGGTTTCAGGACTTTTTTTCAAGATTAAAGATTGATTCATGGGTCAAGGTTAGCCATTTTCCCCTGTTGGTACCTTAGCGGTATGGACCTCAGATGGGAAGTCTGACCCTAGGGGGCATGTCCAGAGAAGGCTCTGGGCTGTTTGGTGGACATTTAAAGCAGCTTTGGATTCACACCTTCACAGAGCTGAGAAGGGGGGCTCTGATGAGGTAACTGCTTCAAAAGTTAAAGTGAGAACTAAATGGTTGGGAAGGAGGAACAAGGTATCGAGCCCCTTCACTATCCGACCCCAAACTTTGAAAAGACCGGTGGGGTGGTTACTCTCTTATATATCAACTCAAGAATCAAGTTATTGACTCTCCAATCCTGTAATTGCTTCTTTAATGAAGCTGACGATTCTTCCCAAGTGTTAGACTTGTACTCCACACATTCCAGCCTCTACACACCAGCAGCAGAAGCTGCCTCACACTGTCTTTCTGTTTTCAGAAAAGAGCCAACAGGAGGCACTAGAATATTTCACCAAGCAGATGAACGATGCCCACCACGGAGGGTGGAGCACCAAGATGGACTGGATCTTCCACACCATCAGACACATGCCCAACGAGCACTGAGGCAGACTCACACGCCTTCACACAGACGCACAAACCTTTATCTGCACCAGCACACCTGCACATGCTTATTATTCACAACTGCTCTCGGTATAGGCAAAGGACTCATGGGGTCAGAGGTCAGAGGGGTGGAGTCTTCCATATTCTGCCACAGTTAGCCTGCTGTAATCTCAGCTAACACAAATGTAGCTCATCTCAAAGCTGGAAACATGATGGCTAAACTTTTTAAACTGGAGACTGGATTCAATTAGCTTTCCTCACACCAGCATTGCAAACACTGTGGACACTAAGCAATAAAAGGATCAGTTCTTTGATTATGACAATCAGGATTTCTGAGCAATAGAGCCCAGAGTTGTGGGGGGAGTAGGAGCTTATCAGATTTCAGCAACTGCATCACAAAGTCCATCATGACTCAGTTTAAAGGCCATGCAGGGTGGAGTCCCTCAGCTCAACAAGCTCTCTGCTGCCAGAACAATCCTTTCAGCAAAGCCTCAGAGCCAAGGCCACCGGCCAGAAGCCTCCAGCCGCCTCAGAG